ATCTCTGGACACTCGCGCGTCAGTGCCGCAGCTCTTCGCGCGGGAAGGCCCCGCGGCATTGCTGCATTAAGGTCTGCAAGCACACGCGCCGCATTGGTTGAGGCGCGCCGACGCGAATTCTTCGCGCGACGCTGGCCGAAGCCCAATCGCGGCAGCACATGTCGCACCGCCCTTTAGTACCCTAATCGGCGGGTGGCCAACAACGCGGGCTGCACGGTCGCGCACTCGCGCATGGGCCGCCGACGCCCCGCGGCATGCGCCGCGCCCGAGCCGCGCCCGTTCGGGCAGATCCCGCGCGCGAGTCTAGTCGCGATTTGCGCGCAGTGCCTGCCGCGCAGGAGCCCCCAACAGACGCCGACAGCTGGCAGCGGGCAGCCGATCCGCGGACGCGTCGCCGCCTGCGCGCGCCCAGCCCGTCTCGCGCTAGCCTCGCGCGCCGCGCTCGCGCGCGCCGCGCGCCCTGCGCGCCAGGCGGCCCGCGACCCGCGATGCAAGCGGCCGGGCCGACGGAGAGGGTTCGCGCGCGCGCGTGTCGAGGACGGGGAGGGGGGGGGGGGCTGGGGAAGAATGGGAATTATTGAGCCGCGGTTAACCGATCCAAGCACGCGCGCGCCTTGCCAGATGTGCAGCGACGCCTGTCGCGCGGCGGTTGCGCGCGCCGCGCTCGCGGCCAATGGCGGCAAGTCCCGTTGGTGCCCGCATCGTCGTCGCCCAGCGCTTTCCCTGCCTCTGCGCGAATGCGTGTCCCGAGCACCCATCACCGCAACCGCAACCCTTCGGTTGCTGACAATCCGCCACCTGGAAACGCAACCAGCGCCGCTTTGCATGGCCCTGGCTGCCACAGCACCTGCTGGGCGATCGGCCGCGCGCGGCTGGCTCGGCGTCGCAGCGGTGTCCGCGCGCCCGCTTCGCTTGCGGCCGTAATCAGCTGGGCGGTAAATCAACGCTGAAGAACCAACCGCGCGCGGGCAATCCAATGGTTGCGGCCGACTTCTCGGGCGCGTACCGACTCTGAGAATCAACTCCGCGACGGCGAATCAACTCACTCGTTCAACGCCGCGGCGGCAAGTCAACTCCAGGGGGTCGACTCCGCGGCGGCGAGCGGGCCACGTAGTCAACTTCGCTCACCTCGTCAACTCGTTTAGTCAACTCCACTCGCGTAGTCAACTCGTTTCGTCGACTCGTTTAGTCAACTCCACCAGCGTAGCCAACTCGGTTCGTCAACTCGTTTCGTCAACTTCAACTCACGTAGCCAACTCGTTTAGCCAACTTCAACACACATGGTTCAACCGTCGGATTCAACGCACAACTCGCGTAATCAACTCGTTTCGTCAACATCAACTCACGTAGCCAACTCGGGTAGTCAACTCCAATACGCGCGGCCAGCTCGGGTGGCCAACTCCAGCGCGCGCCACCGCCGCGCGTCGTCAAATCGGGCGCGTGGCCCCGTCCAGACACAAGCGTCGCTGCGACGCGTGAGCAATGCCTGGGCATGCGGGATGCAGGCTGCCTGCGCAAACAACGCGCGCGCCCGAATATTCGCCTCGGCCGACGCCGACGCGGCATGCCCCCTCGCGCACGGGAGCCCGCAACGCCCCCTTCCCGCCTGAGCGCGGTGCTGACATTCGCGCGCGCAGCCCATCCGTCGCCCAGCTGCGTCGCCCATGCGCGCGGGCCGACGCCGCCCCTGCGTTAGCGAGCGCGAGCTCTGTGCCCGCCTCCTCGAGCCCCGAACGCACCGAAGTGCAGCGGGCAACCCGAGCGGGCGCCCGACCGACCGCGCGTGCGCCCGACGACGACGCGAAACGGGCCCGAATAAACGCCCTTGGGCGCATCGGTCATGGGGGGAGCGGCTCTGCGAAGCGTTTGGCGAAGGGGGCGGCCGCGTCGGGGGGGCGATGGGGCGCGCGCTGCACCTGGGGCGGGCACGCGAGCGCGATGGATGGACTGGGCGATGGTGCGCGGCGCGCGATTGAGACGCTCGATATTTGCGCTACAGAGCCGCTGCCGATGAGGCACGCAAGCGCCGCGCCAACCCACCCGACCGCGGCCCGAAATCTGGCGCAGGGGGCACCGACCCGAAGATACCCGATGCCGCGTGGGCCGACGGCGTGTTGATTCCACGCCCCCAGAAGGATTGAGCCGACGTCCCGCGATGTCAGCGAGGGGCTGCGCGTGACGCGCGATCTAGAACTTTGAACCTCGCGACGCCGCGTCTAGCCCCGCCCGACGCCGACGCGAATAGCCGCGAAACCTGATCCGACATCGCCATTGGATGTCTGCTTGAAAGCCAGGAAAATCAACGGCGTTGGGCGCGAAGCCCGGCCCCAGGGCCCTCGGAGCTTCGCATCACCTGAGGCCAGGGGAGTTGGGTGCCGCATCACGACCCCAACGCCCGACCCATAGTCTTGCGAAGTCCACGAGTGTGCGCGCGAAACCTTATCGGAAACTCTTCGGTGGAGACTGGGGGCCACGGCCCGCCAGAAGCCCTGCGGAGGCGGTCGAGCCGCCCGATCCGAACCGCCCTGCAATTAGATCTCAAATCCTCAGAGGCCGCGGAAGCGGGCGCGTAAGAGGGGGGCACGCGCACCCCTCCCCACTCCCGATGTACGATGTATCACCACCGCGGCCCATGCAGGAGGTCCTGGAATCTGGCCCCGTCTCGCCTGTGCGCGTTCCCCGCGTTCCCCGACGTCTGTGGGCTCAGGCGACGAAATCTCTCCCTTGTGTCCGAGTCCGATCCGCGCCCGCCCACGCCCATGGGGTCGAGCGCGCAATCGGGCACGCGCCCGCGCGCGGTCTAATCTCGCACCACCGTTTCGTCAAGAAACGGAGAGGATTTGCGCCCCGACGCCCCGCCCCCCACCCCCCCCACCCCCGACGTCCGCGCTCGGGGGCGCGATTTACCCTCGCGCCCCCGACGCGTCACCCTCCGACACACGCGCACACTACGCTCAGACAGCGTTCCAAACACCGCCAAGGCCACCGCGGTCGGGCGCCCACCGCAGAACGCCCCGAGCCACGCCAGAGCAAGACAACAGAAACCCACTCGGCACGAACACACCCGTTCTCGAACCATTTAACGCTTAAAAATAAAACAACAACCATAACAGTTTCTAATAAAAAAAACGTTTAAGCGATTGCATGGAACAGGTTTAACCATACGCTCGGTTATATACATTATGGCTGCGGCTCTTGCCTTGCGCTGTGGGGCTCGTGCGCGCGCGTGCGTGCGCGTGTCCCTCCCCCCGCTCCCCTCCCCCTCCTTCTCCCTCCTCCCTCCTCCCCCGCCTCCTCCCCTTTCTCCTCTGTTTCCCCTCCCCCCCCGCCTCGTCGCCTTCCCCCTCCCCCCTCTTCCCCCCTCCTCCCCGCCCCCCTCTTCCCCCTTCCCCCCGCGTTCCCTCCCCTCCCCAGCCGCCCCCGCGAGCTCGCGCGCGCGCGAGCTCGCGCGCTGGCGCCTCGTACTTCTTGATCGGGCGCGGAGGGGGGGCGGGCGGCGGGCGGCGGGGCGGCGCGGGGAAGGAGCAGAGGGCGAGGAGAGCAAGGGGGGAGGGGGCGCAGGAGCCCACGGGGATGTAGGAGGAGAAGGGAGGGCAGAAGGGAGGGTGGAGCGCGGGGCGGGGCGCAGGCGGAGAGGAAGAGAAGCGAGGCGGAGGGCGTTGAGAGCTCGATGGGGGATGGCAGGAGAAGCGGGGGAACAGCAATCATATGGCGAGGGTAGGTGGCGGGTGGGGGCGGGGGGGGGGGGGGGGGCGACGAGGAGGCAGGCGGGGGGCGGTGCTGGAGAAAAAGGGGAGGAGGGAGATATAATGAGAGCGACGGGCGCGGAGATGGCGAGGGGAAGCAGGATAGCGACGAAGGGGGACGAGGGGGGAGGGGGGCGAAGCAGGCGGGGAGCAGCAGGGTAAGGTGATAAGAGGGAGCAGCAGGATAGGAAGATGAGGTGGAGTTGCGGGATGATGACGAGGGGCGAATGGGTGCGCGAGGGCCCCATCATCAAAGTCATCATCATCGTCATCATCCTCATCATCAGCGCCGTCATCATCACCATCGTGACCACCATCATCATCATCATCATCATCATCATCGTGACCATCATCATCATCATCATCATCATCATCATCATCATCATCGTGACCATCATCATCACCATCACCACCATCATCGTCATCACCATCGTCACCACGACCATCATCATCATCGTCAATATTATCGATGGCATTTTTAAACACCGCGGTCGTCACCACATCATCGTCATCGTCGTCATCAACACCATCATCGAAGAAATCGTCATCAGCATCGCCATCACCATCATTATCGTCGGGATCACAATCGCCGCCTCCATTATCATGGCCATCGTCATCATCATGACCGTTATCACCATCGGCGCCCGCCCCACCCTGATCGTCGCCACCCTCCTCATCATGCTCATCCGACTCATCTTCATTATCATCCTCCTCATGCCGCCCCTCACCCTCATCGCGTTGCTCCTCGTCGTGCCCCCCATCCTCCTCATCATGCGCCCACTCGCGATCCCCCTCGCCATGCTGCTCCGTATCCTCGCCGCCCTGCCCCTAACCCCATGCAGGCAATCCTGACGCCCATCTCTGGGCGGGTGGCCTTTTCCAGAGGCCCTGGCACCAAACGCACCAGGGCCGCGCGCAGCGGGCGGCTGCTCGCCCCAAAGAGGCGGGGCGAGGCACGAGGAGGCACCGGTTGCAAGAAAGGGGCGGAGAGATGAGGACTGACGAGGGATGCAGGGTGGCGAGGAGTGGACGAGGGCGATGGAACGGGAGGGATACTTATCATTGCGACTTGGGGAGGGCGGGGTTAGGGGCAGTAGAGAGCTGAACCACCTGGCCGCAAATCACGCAAAGTGAGCGAGCTGTGCAATGCAACGTCGTCGTGGCTGTCTGTGTGGTTTCAGTCACGTGGTTTCTGTTATGTGGTTGACTTCGTTTTGGCAAGCTGTGTATCTAGATGTTGATTGCACCGCTCTTCTACCTGGCAGGCCGCGGCCGCCTCGCGCCCCGCTTGGACTTGCCGAGGTCCATGTGGGCAGTCGCGAGTGCCTTGTTCTCGGCACTGCTTGCCGTCGGAGGCGTAGCAGGGACCTCGAACAGCCACCGCTTCACCTCCTCGTCCGTCGCGGGGCCGAGGCGCTCGGTAACGCACAGGTGGCACCCGCGATGCAAGTAGCAATTGATGGTGATGGAATTGGCTGGCTTGCCCCGCAGGATGCGGAGCACCGACCGACCACCGCGGTAGCAGTAGCCGCTCCCCGTGACGTCCGAGACCTCCTGCCACGGCTGCAAAGGCGCCCCTGCCCCTCCGCCTGGAGGTGGAGGGTCGCCGTCGCCTGGATGCGGAGGCTCATCGTCGGCTGCGCCCGCGGCCTCATTCACGCGCATAGCCGCCATCCCGAGGAAGTCGGCATCGCCGTCGTCGGCATCCCCCTGAGCGGGCTCGACTTCTCGGTGGTCCACTGCGGGAGGAGGCAAGACGGGCTCCTCCAGTTCGGGCGGCATCTCGTTGCATGCATCCTCGAGCTCCTCCACCGACGAAACCGATGCCATATCATCTGCCATGTCGAACTCGGGCTCCTTCTGCACTGGGCCGCCGCCAGCATCCTCACCTGCTGCCCCTGCGGACTCGGGCGCGAGACTGCCGTCGGCGATCGCTGGAGGCGCAGCGGCACCTTCAGCGACGGCGCCCCCAGGAGCGCGGCCCCTCGCCCCCTGGACGCGCCCCTACCGCGGCTGCCACTGCTCGCGCCGCGACCCCGACGACGATCTCGGGCTTGCCTGGCCGCCTCTTCGCTGAGAGGGTCAGTGTCAATGATGTCCCTCTTCCAGATCTCGTGGCCCTTCGGCTTGTTGGTCTTGAAGGTGAGCGGCTTCTTCTGCCCTGGCTCCCAGAGAACGCCCAGCTCGGTGCGGCCGAGGATCTTGGAGCGGCGAAGGCTGCCCCCGAAGTGCATGACCTTGTACTCCGCCTCGTACAAGGTCATGCTCGACATCTTATCCACTAATAGGTCAATCCACTGGTCCGACGTCATCGAATCCATCGCCTCGAAACGTTCCGACACGAAGTTGGCGCGAACGGAGATCTTCACGAGGCAGGGCAACCTCAACTCCTGGGGAGCCAAAGCCAAACTCATCACTCCTCCTGCTCATCCCTCCGCCCTTCCCCCGCCGCCCTCCTCCCCCCTCCTCGCCGCGCGAGAAAAGATCTGGACCCGCGACCCCAAATGAAACCACAAATCAGAAACCTGGCCAGAACAGTCCGGCCTCAAAAATCAGAAAACAAAAGCGCACCATCAAGGCCAAACGAAAACATGTTTGTTGTTTCAGGCCCCAGTCCTCAGTCGTCTCGTTGATGCCCGTCAAGAACTCGTTCTTGGTGACGTCGAAGATCTTGGGGCTCCACGTCACGTCGCTCACGATGACGACGGACCGAAAATAACCACCACGAGTGCCAGGGCCTTCCACAATGAGCATGTTGTCGCCCTCCTCCGCCTTCTGGGCGCCAATGTGCTCCATGTAGTTCATGATGCCCTTTTCGATCGGTTCGAACGCATCGGGCGCTCTGGAGTTCGATCGGTCGACGTTCCTGGCACCCCTTCCGACGCCCCACACGTCGAAGTCCTTCGTGAGCTCAAAGTCCGTCGCGTCGTCGGCCATCGCCTGCCTGTACTCCAAGTCGTCGTCGAATACCTCTGCGCGCGACGGCCAGCCGTGAGCGCTAACCCACCTGCAGAACTCATCGCAAGTGATGGGCGACGAGCTGCATCCCCCGCCCCACATTGCCCTGTACTTCTGGATTGTGTCTGGAGTGTCTTCCTTGGGCTTGAGCCTCCAGAGCTCGCGCGCCTCCCTGAGGGTCTCCTGGTCGCACTCTGCGAACATCACCTTGAAGTCCAACGTGGCCTTATCGCGCTCGTCTTTGGTCAGCTTCCGCCCCGCCATTGACTTGACGGTTTCCATGTACTTGTTCTTATCCAACATGTACGTGCTCAGCCCCCTGCGGTGCTGCTCGCCCTCGCCCCCCTCGCTGGCTGGCTCGGTAGCTCCCCAGTGCCCAGGGTTCTTCCTTCGCGCTACAAACTCTTGCTCGAATGGGTCATCGAATGCAGTCTCCAAGACGATGGCGGAGGATTGAGGCCGTGCGCCCGACGGCTGCGCCTCCCCATCTTCAAGTGCAAGTTGGCGTCGAGCTTCCTCCGCCTCCAGCTCCAAACCTGAACACGTGTTGCGCATGACCAAATCCCGCAAGAGAGGCTGTGCTATCACGATCTCCTCCTTCTCCGCTCCGCTGAGGCCCCCAGCCCGCAAAGGGTGTAGTCCGCCGTGGCACTTGTGCACAGTGCAGATCTGCTGAAGGAGGTGCTCTCGCTGAGCGTTCAGGCTGCTGCGCCCTGGGGCTCGAACAGGGTGCTTCGACGTGTACTCGCTGTTGAGCCACTCTATGAAGTCTGCCCCGTACGCGTGCTGGTAGAAATCGCCGAAGAGCGTCGAACGGCATTCGTCAGACATGAGCAGGTCGCGTGTATGATACCGCGCTCTGATGCCTTTGGTGTAAGAGTCCAGCATGTGCGCTGGCGCCTCCAACACCTTCCTGGCCAACTCATCCAACTCAGGCAGGGTCGCATCAGTGACAGTCAGCGGGTACAGGCAGTAGGGGTGCGTGGCGAATCTGATTTCGTATCTGCGGATCATCACGCTATTGAGCTTGAGGATCTGCGACCGTGCCCATCGCGAGAATTGTTGGCTCGTGAGCGGCGCCTTCAGGATGTCAAGAATGCACCATGGCTTCCGCCTTGGGACTTCGGCGCACCACGAGTCGGCCAATTCAAGCATCTGCTGGGTGAAGCTGCCAATGACGGGCGTCTGCTTGTCGAGCAAAGTGTCCATCTTGGAACGCTTAGGTTTCCTCGGGTTCGGAATTGGATCACCCAAAAGAGGATATAGCAGCGTGGAGCCCGATACTTCTAGAATCCCCATGTAGACCACAAGCTCCCAGAACGTTGTATCGTTGCTGTAATATTCGCGTATCTTTTTTGCCCTGACGTTGAAGACGTGCTCCCAATAATCACTATCTGACATGCCATCAACTTCCCTCAGCAACGGTATATCCTCCTGATCTTGCTGGTCCTCAGGCGCTCCATCCCCCAAGAAACTCTCGATCCCGATGCCGTGCACCAGCTTTCTGAACAGCGAGCGCTTCATGTTTATGAGAGTGTTCGTCCAACGGCTTTCGCACGGCCGCGGGTCGGATGCACCGAAGAATGCGTGGACCAATGCGGTGCACATCTTGTCAACCGTGTCTGCTCTGTTCTTACAGCAGGGTCGGCCAGTGCGGGGGTCGCGGCAGTAGTGGGCGAGCTTCTCGCCGCTCAGGCTGCCATTCACCAGGGGCGCCACGGCCTTCAGGTCCTTGATGAACTGCGACTCGTTGCGGCCACCATCCCGAAGATGAAAATCCGCCTTAAGGTCGAACAAGATGTCAGCCACCGCTTGGAAGCTGTGCTGCACCTCTGGCGGTGCTCCACATACTCGCTCGAGCTTCCGTTCAACCAGAAGCTCAACCCCCGTGATGGTACGCGCGAGTTGCGACCGATAGCGATTGGCCGAAGCAATCGAGAAGTGCCGCATCGTATGAGGTTTGAGTCCTCGAACCTTCAGCTTCCCCCGATGGTGAGCGTGGATGCCGCACGTATCTGGCCAGTTGAACGCGTTGGTGTTCGCTTGCTTCTGCTCCACGATCTCTGCGGCCTTGCTGCCCCAGGGCTTCAGGATGCCCATGTTGGAGGAGGCCCTGTCAGCCATTGGCATGAAAGTGCATGTCGATACTTTCGTCAACACGGTATTGAACGAGTCGGGGTCCAGCCAATGCATTATGTTGAGCTCTTCGGGTATCGCCCTCTCCAGACCAGGTAAGATGTGCTTCGCCCTTTTCCCCTGCAGCTCGTACGGCTTCGAAACGAGATACTCGATAAAATGCCCTGCCATCTTGGTATCTAGGTTGGTGCACGTGAACTCGACCGTCGATCTCTGTATGAGCGTGGGCATCGCAACTGACTTCTTCATCACTCGGTAACGCTTTCCAGGTTTCCATGCTTGCTTCACTTCAACTTCATCCCACATATGCATGAAGCCTGCGTGCACATGTCGAGAGGACGACGTACTCGGGTTAGAGATGGCGTGGCGGCTTCTTTTGAGGCTCTCTGATAAACCAATATGCTGCCTGTCCATTGTGATGTTGCGCGCTGTAGTCATCAACCGACGATGGTCCACTCCAACTTTGCACTGCTTCTTTGATGGCATGAAACACGCTCTGCTCGCAATCGCAAAATCTGTTGACGTCAGCGGTCGCTTCAACTTTCCGAGGGTTGTCGACGATGTGCCCACCAACTCGGCGGCGCCTGGTAGCAACGATATCTGCTTCATCTTGGTGTCAGTGTCGGCCTTCTGCATCTTGACTTGCTGTTTGAGCCTATCTGCGTGCTTTTTCGCTTTGGCCTCTCTGGCGTGGCCGATGTGTGCTGCTGATCTCTGCTCGTACTTGACTCTGGGGGGCTGGTAAATCACTATATCCTCAACTTCACCGATGCCTTCGATCTGTTGTTCTGGGGCGGGAACGATCTGATGTGGCTGAGCGGGTTCTCGCTGGTCTTCTGGTGGCTGAACGGGGTCCTGCTGCTGGTCGGCTGGTGGCTGAACGGCTCCCTGCTGGGGCGCTGGTGGCTGAACGGGCTCCTGCTGCTGGTCGGCTGGTGGCTGAACGGGCTCCTGCGGGCCTCCTCCGAGTGAGATGTGGCTGAGCTCCTCAAGCAAATGATCGAGATCAACTTCCATCGTGATGTTATGGAACGGCCAGCGGCCTGAATATGAAGGGCCCAAGGCCAGAATATGGAAGGCAACAGCCGAGACCGTCGCAAAGGTGAGCTTCACCAACGAGGAAAATATGACCTGAAAGCTTTCTAACCCAAATTGGCTGCGGAGTGACGGGCGTGAGCGGCAACGATGCCTCTGCAAAGGCCGATCGCAGCTTGGGCCCCAAACAGAAGTGATCTAGTGCGCTCTACGGAAGCAGTAACATAGCTCAATGGGAACGGCAGGTCGGCCCAATCTTTATGTTGTATGCGTGTATGGCGCGAGCAAGTGCAAGCCACTGTATGGGGAGCTCGCCGCAACTGACAATGCAATTTAGCTCGGGGCGCCCGCTCCGAGGGATGAACGACGAACCCTATTGAGCTGCGCTCATATGTGTTTTCTCGTTGCTCCTTCACGACTTACACAACGCGCTGTCTCCAGGGGCCTCAAGTGGCATCAAACACTCGCTTCACATGCGCTGCTCCCTACGATGTGCGTTTACAGGGATGGCCTATGTTTCTGTGTGTTGTGATTTCCAAGCCCGGCCTCACAAGGCCCTCGTTAATCGGACTTTTCCCTAACGCCCCCATGCCATAACACTGCCCGTCTGCTGCAACCTAATCTGCATCGCCCACCCCCTCTCCATTCAACCCCAGGGCGTAACTATTCGATCGAGGCGCACGCGAAGATAACTTATATTCGTTCTCGGCAACCTTGAGGGCCCGAGCGTTTCCCGACGTCTATACCGCCGCAAGAGTCAGAAGGAGGAGGGGGAGTATGAAGATCCACCAGAATTGCAAAAAGGGTAATATACATGCGGGTCCGTCCTCAAAAGCACGCCTAATGTTTGATTTGAAGAACTGATGTGTTTAAGGTTTTTGGAATTGAACCATGGACTTAACTCCTACATTCAACTCTGTCGGGCCCAGGGTCCATGTCCGTTCTGCAGTGATGATCGATCTCTGCCCAACGCACGCACTCAAGTCTTCTGGGTGTCTTCGGGGAAGGCTCAGAAAACTTCCCACGAAGGCCGGGGGACTTCCGAGCGTTCTGAGAAGGCCTTCTCCTTCTCAGCTTCCCCCCAGGCTCGCCGTCGAGAGGAGGAAAGCGTGCAGCGGCGGGACCGAATCGGGGCCGAAACCAGCTGCAGCAACTTTCGTACGCCCCTCCTTAGGGGAACAAGAAGTGGCATAAACATAAAAACTCAGAGGTCCGAGCGGATTTCTCGGATCGGCGCTGGGGCCCTCCGGCGGCGCCTCCGGCGCCGCCCCTGGCGCGCTCCGCGCGCCAGGGAGGGGGCCCCAGCGCCGATCCGAGAAATCCGCGCGGACCTCCGAGTTTTTTATGTTCATGCCACTTCTTGTTCCCCTACTCCTTTCCCTAACCCCCTCTGGTCCTCGTCTCGCCGTTCACTCTGGTCCTGGGGTCTCGTCTCCTCCCTCCACCCCCTCCTTCTCCCTCCTCCCTCCTCCCTCTTCCTCCTCCTCCCTCCTCCCTCCTCCCTCCTCCCTCCACCCCCTCCTCCTCCTTCTCCCTCCTCCCTCCTCCCTCTTCTTGCATCCCTCCTCCTCCCCTCCCTCTCGTCCTCTTCGTCCTCCCCTGAGATCCGACGTTGCGAAAAAATATGGCATCGCGTAGAATCGCCTCCAGAGCCCGAGACCCCATCTTTCGGCGGCACATTTCGAGCTGGCTCGTTATGTGAGGGCCCTGGGGTCCGATGCCGGACAAGAACGCCCGGCGAGAGGCAACAGCAACGCGCAGATCTTATGGCCCCCCTCCTCCTCCTCCTCCTCCTCCTCCTCCTCCTCCTCCTCCTCCCTCCTCCTCCTCTCCTCCCTCCTCCTCCTCCTCCTCCTCCTCCCTCCTCCTCCTCCTCCTCCCTCCTCCTCCTCCTCCCTCCTCCTCCCTCCTCACTCCCTCCTCCCTCCTCCTCCCTCCCCCCCCCTCCCTCCTCCTCCTCCTCCTCCTCCTCCTCCTCCTCCCTCCTCCTCCTCCTCTCCTCCTCCTAGTAGCTGGCAGCTGTTGGCCACAGCGTCTATCCGACCAGCCATCCCTCCTCCTCCGCCTCCACCTCCTCCTCCCTCGAGGGAGGAGGGATGCGGGAAGACCTTCCTTCCTCCCTCCTCCCTCCTCCCTGTTTCCTCCTCCCTCCTCCCTCTCTCCTCTCCCTCCTCCCTCCTCTCCCTCCCTCCCTCCTCCTTCCTCACTCCCTCCCTCCCTCCCTCCCTCCCTCCTCCCTCCGTCGCTGCTCACACGGTCGTGGGGCTGTTGCGGTGCTCATGGGGTTCGACAGGGCTCGAAGGGAGTGGCGTACGGCCAAGAAGAAGACCTGCCCACCAGCGTTGTGGCAGGTGCTAGCGGACGGTATCATGGACGCAGTCAACCACATGCGTGTGTCGTGTGATGACGGGGAGTGGCCAGAGGACATGAGGGAGGAGGAGGAGGAGGAGGAGGAGGAGGAGGAGGAGGAGGAGGAGGAGGAGCTCCGTGGGTCGCTTAGGGCTTTTTTAAATGTAGAATGGGACCAACAGTTACCTCGGGACTGACAAGACCTGGGCTCCAGATTTTGCTGCACCCCGAGCAGGACGGGTACGAGCGAACCCCGAACGGCACAGGTTTTTGCCACCTGAGCCGACGAGTTTGGACGATGCTCCAGATCCAGGGATCGTTCTCGACCCAGAGGCTTCACCTCGGGATCCAGGCCCTGTCGAAGCTGCCGATGAGCAAGAGTATGCACAAGTTTCGGCCTTCCTCGAAGGCACCCTCGAAGGCACCGGCATACCGCAGCCAGAGGACACAGAGCCCCCTGGTCCCTGCCCTCCTTCCCCACTCATGCCGCCTCCCCCCCCCCACAGCCAGTTGAGCTCACCGAGGCATTGCGCCAACGGATCGCAGCCAATCAAGCGCAAGGCAGGGAACGTCGCAGGCTGCGTCTCGCCAAGAGAATAGCCCCTTGAACGTTGCAACCCGAATTCGGTACACATATGCGGGAGGGCAGGTCAGTCAGTTCAGGAGCGGGGTGGATGTGCTGAGTAGCAGCAGGTGTTCACAGTCCGCCAGCGTTACCCATACATGTCAGCAAGACTTGCCAACTTACTCTTTCCAGCTTTACCCGGCCGTTGGGCCAGTCAGATCTGCTCACGTGTCACGCACTCGTGAGAGACTGCTCCCCTTCTCGCTTCCACCTCCCCTCCTACACGCGCCCTCCTCTGTCAGGGGTAGACGCGTAGAACTCGTGGCACCCACCTTGGATTCTTGACGGTGGCCACGGCCACGAGCCCGTGAGACGTGCGTGATGGGCCTGTTCCCCACCACCACCGCCAGAAGTTGGAGGGGGGAAGGAGGTGGAGGAGGAGGAGGTGGTGGAGGAGGAGGAGGAGGAGGAGGAGGAGGAGGAGGAGGAGGACCCCCTCCCCCTCCTACTTGTGGTGGTGGCGGTGGAGAACAGGCCCGCCAGTGCGAGCCACAGCCGGGGCGGGAGGACGGCTTGCGGCACGGGCGTCGGGAGCGGCGCGCGGCGCGGCAGGGCAGCAGCGAGCGCCCCCGCGCGCGGCCGCCGCCCACCCGCCGCGTGGACGGCGGGCGCCCTCGGGGGGCGAGTCGAGCGGCCGACGACTTCGATTCGGGCCTCTAGGAGCCACGTTCTGGGTTTCTGTCTTACGCCCCCCCCCCCCCACGCCCCACAGTTTCGCACAGCTTCTGGGGAACCGGCGATTCATGGTGTGTGTGTGTGTGTGTGTGTCTCTCTGTGTGTGTGAGGAGCAGAGGCGCAGAGGCGGAGTGCTCAGACCTCCACCCTCGGAGAGAGAGAGAGAGAGAGAGAGAGCAGAGCACCCTCCTCCTCCTCCTCCTCCTCCTCCTCCTCCTCCTCCTCCCTCATGTTCTCTGGCCACTCCCCGTCATCACACGACACACGCATGTGGTTGACTGCGTCCATGATACCGTCCATTTTACACTGGACAGCTGGCTCATCAGATAAACGTGTGGTCCGATTGTTTGGGTCCTGTGAGGTACCATAACATGCCAGCTGCCCAGCAAGTCTCCTCCAGAAATAAGTATGCGGGGCTTCGTAGGGGTTTTGGGGAGATAGAGGGATCGAAAAACGTCGGCCCCTGCACCCACACCCCTGCCCACCGCAGTATGGAGGTAATTGATAACCTTCCGCATGATGAGCGGAGGATCGCGAGAGCTAACTT